CGCTTTCTTTCAAGCATCCATTATCTTCTATCAAATATTTAACAAATCGGAAGTGGCTTAGCGTGGTCTGCACTCTTATCGACAACGGTAAATTGACCAATCATCATGTTCGCTTCTTAATGTAACGATTTACAATTGTCTCCTTCAGTGATGGCCTGGGCTTCACTGGTGTGTATATTGCTGTGGATATCGGCGTTAAAAGTCACGAAGAAAGTAAAACATCAGTTGTTGATGTGTTTGAGTTGTCCAAGAACCTCAGAAATGACCGTCATGGTATCGTCTGTACCCTGGAACATTATAACTTTATCTACCAGGTATGTCAAAACCACTGGCTAGGATATGACTTTCTTATGATATATATGTATATATATCTTTGGGAAGTAGTTCTTTACAGAGAGAAGGTCACAGTTATTCTTGAAACCAAAGAGTCGTGAATGACGAGAAATACACTGTATCGGCCAGAAATTCGAAGAGGGTCTTTGAGTTAGCCCTATACCATCACAAATTGCTAAATTTTGCTTGACTTCTTATCTGGCGGTTAAGATCTGCGTCTTCTGTCCATCTACCTGATAATTTTCAGTTACTGGGTCTGTCCGCTGTCTGCGTGTAGACTCTCGGAGTCTGTTCAGCATTTGTCCGTGAGATCAATGTAACGAATAATTAAGGTAAAATATGAACAATTCTTAGAACCAAGTTTTTGTGTTGCAAATACAACTGTAAAACTCAAGCAATTAAATTCTCATTCACAGGCGCTGTATGAGTACACAGTCAACTACGATGAGTCAGCAGAGGTAACTATACTGAAAAATTATAATCGGTTTATTTTTAATCATTACTCAGCGATTTCAACAAGACGAAATTCTGTATTTCGAATTTTTCCTCCAAGGCATGGCGTGAAGCGTTTCGTGCAAAGTGCACTTGACTTAATCTTCTTAAGAACAGATACCTCTGGTCTAAAAACAACATGTGACTACGTACTAATAGATTTGGTCCTATATCTAGTATCCGACTCATTTTGATAATCTCTTGATTAAACATGTTTAACATTTTATTTTTTTCAGACTCAAAAGCTCTGAGGAACTGAATGTAAAAATTTTTTGGACATGATACCGAACAAAAAAAGCTTGTAGTCAGAATTACTCTCCTATTTGAGAGCGTTACTGTTCATTCGAAAACGTAGCTATGGCAGTCATATTATCCTTACAGTACTGATTTCTTACTTAATAGATCATTTCATCATATTTTGTTCTGTATGTTATTTGAGCAATGTTATCGAATGTGAGAGCAGTGCAAAGCTGAGGCAAGCATTAGTGACAGTGGTCAAATCCTCGGTTAGTTTTATTTGTCATTAGAGACGTGCACATTTTAAAACTTGAACTTGGACGAAATTCAAGCCGTCATCTTGAAATTGGATTAATGGCCAATCAACCCTTATAAAGATTACTAAAACTAAATCGTTTAACGTATGCCCATAACAGAGATTTGTTTTAAGTGTATCCACGGCCACTCGGTTTCAGAGGAAGTTGGCCGTGCATTAGATATTAGTTTTTGTGGTTACTACCTCCTATAGAAGGCGAAGCCACATGTGTTGTTTAAGAATTGCTTTCAGGACTGAATTTCTAGACTGGTAACGTTGACAGGATTTTGCTGCCTTTTATCGTAATAGCCTGTGATCAACAACTACAGATATTTCCTGTGTTGTTCAAACAGCCAATTAAAAGGCTAGATGACATGTTGTTCACTTGCGACATATTTAATATCTCAAGACACTGAAATATTAATCGTCCAAATATTGAACATCGCGAACAGTGTTCCCCACTCTATTGTTTGTTTGTGTTTTCGTGTTACATTTTTGTGCTTGTTGTTCTGTTTTTGTTTTGCTTTGTTTTTACCTAGTTTCAGCCNTTTCCAAGTGGAGTGGGGGCAATGGGGGATGGGGGGTGGCTAATTCGTGGTTCGATACGAAGTTGGTCAGAAATGGTCAGCATACTTTGAAACAATTGGTCATGAGAGCCCGACGTTGGGAAAGTTACACCACATTTACACATATTTCAAAGTCCAGCAAAGTAACAAAAACAGTATTTTGCTCAGAATCCAATTCTTTTAATTCAAATTACGTGTCCTCTCCATAGACAACGAGAAGTGTATTTTGCGGGTTTTCCTGTCCGCTGCATATTTGCGGTCTTTATTGGTTGTTTATGATATAAGCAGCTTTCAGAATGTAAAGTTCAGGCTCGAAATCTCCTGCTAAATGTGATTTAGCAAGACTCAAACAATCGTGAGCACACGTTTTATTTCAATAGATGCATTACTTTGAACAAGTTGACGATAGCTTGAATTCCTCTTCATGGTGAGTGGATAGAGATATTTCCAATTGAAGTCAATCAAATTGACACAGTGCAGGTTTGTTTTCGCTTGGTTTCGTGTATTTATCTAGCAGAGAGATAACCCGTGCACGTATTCATCGTAGTCCGATCTCATTACGCCCTGTGTTCAATAAATTATTGAATCACATGGTCAATTGATTAAATTAGCAAAATAACATTGTTGAACATACTTACTGTTTAACTTAGCATTCATGTGAAACAATGCCAAACTTGCAAATGAGATTGGGAGCCATCCAGGAGAGGGCAAGCCATTGCCAAGGATTAAAAAAAAAACAATATCAATGTTTACCTTTCCGACGTGCCTGTCAAATCAATTGATTCCTTGCACGTTTAGTGTTGCGCGTCGGGTCGAGGGTTCAGAAGACTTTTTTGTTGTCTACTTCATCCCAAGCACACTGACTTCTTGCGAACTGTGACTACGCGAGTAGCTTATACCTACAAAAGGTAATTTTACGATCTTTCCTAAGCGACTTCAACTGGCTCAACCTCTCTTTTGATTTCATAAGCAGCACCTCCACGATTCTAGAAACGAATTAAAGGAATCGCCGCCAACATTCAAGAGGCAAGGTTAGTGGACATTAAATCGAACCGCGGTGGTCTTCCAAGAGCTCTGCATCCCCTCTGTAAATCGTGAATGCGTTTGACATAGAATGTATTTTACTAAACAATTTCTGTTAAGCTTACTTACGCCTTTATTGGCTCTGTAGATCTCCCCCTTGAGCTGTTTAGAGCACTCTTACTTGTTACGATTAGATTCTAAATCTGTTGGATCTCGTAAGCGTGTGCGATAGTTTCGAGGTCAGTGAACTACCAAACCAACTAGAAACATAACACAATATGCACTTCGTTGAATGGAAGCCGAGGACATTGACGTGATATTTTCAAATAGATTCTTGTGCTCCGATCAGCTTTTGCGGTTGCAGGCCAAACTGATCACGATAACCTTAACCATGGACAAAGCATGGAAAGTAATTAAAGAAGGGTTTGGATCAATTTTTACGGGATCCCTGCCGCAAAAATTCAGCTCATGTGATTAGAAAGAAAACAAACTTATGGAATAGATTTCCAACATTTTTAAAATAACTGGATTTCCTTTTAGCTGTTTGCTGTTTTGGCTTCATCCGCAGGTAAGAGTGAAAGCCGCCACGCGGTGTTTATTTCTGTAATGATTTTCGCCTTTGGCCCGCCCTATTTCATCCTCTGCGCTGCAATGCAGTCGGTGAAACGAATGCTTTTGTGCAACGTTCATATGTCAAGGGAAAAAATTTGAATACATTACGGTGCTTGACTACCACAGAGGCCGACGGACTAATTGATCACGCAATTCTATGTTAATGTAACTGTGTTGATTATTATAAACCAATCCATCATACATTAGATGCCGACCATTTAACTTTTGAGGGGGGGTGGGTGATTTCTGGTCATCAAGAAATTTTTTTCTAGCAATCTGCTGTGCAGGATATTTTTTTCCGATTTTATGCTACATTTTTTCTGTTACATTTGGGCTGCATGCAATTTTTTTCTTCCAACGAGCGCTTGCAGGAAATTTTTTTTAAAAATCCCCCACCCCCTCAATAGTTAAATGGTCGGCCCCTTAGTGTAAACCCCTGCCATCCTATTACAAGTGCTACAATCTGATTGGCTTCGCAACTCGATAGCTATCCCATGATGGATAAAGAGAAGCCTAACGTTGTGCAGGCTTGATTACCAGCTGCTGGTCGGGAATCACAGCCCGGACTCCTCCTCTTGACCGGATTCAAGAGAGCGGCGGAAATCGAGCCTAAACGTTGTGCGGTTGTAAGTGAAATAAAGATAAACATGAGCCTCCATTCTTGCCGGGAGTAAAAAATTTTGAAGGACTAGCAGGTTTAAACCAAATACCGTATTTCCTCGAATAATAGCCGTCCCTCGATTAATCGCCTCCCTCGAATAATCGCCCCCTCCCCCTCCCCTCGCCATTTTCTCTTTCTCTTACCCCCTCCCTCTCAAGTTAAAAATTGGCATCTTGGGTAACAAACAAGCTTTTATTTAATTGTTCCGTGACCACTGAATGATTACAAAAGCACCGATTATTTTGCAGTTTTTTTCTATGACAACGTTCATATACTTCACTTTTTCCTTTATTGCTTGGAGCTCTCTATTTAACACATCGGATATGTTCTTGTTCCTTGTCCGCAATGAATTAATCGCTGGAGCAACAAGTCCGTTTTCTGCAGTCCGCTTTTCGATAACCTCGGCATCGCCTTCATTGCTATCTTCTGCATTCAGGAAAGTGCAAACGAGACGGGATAGTTCAATTGGTACATGCCCAACTAGAACATCAGAGCCGCCACTGCTGTCTTTTCCATATAAACCGACCGCAAAGTCGTCATATGCTTTTGCTTCCTCTCTTTTGTCGTTCTTGCACAGAAGTTTTTCCCCAATCATCGTAGTCCATCGTGCTTATATTTGATGTGATTATTTTTTTGATTTAATGGTATAATAAAACAAAAATATTTAAGGCACAACCTTCT